AAAGACACACGGATGTTTGTCTAGACTCTAGAGTAATTTTTGCTTATTAGGTTGAACTGGATCATCGAAGCTCAGAAGCAAAGACATTGGTTAATAGAATGGGATTAAATACATAAAGGATATTTGTGTTGTTTAACATTTAATTATTGCAGGTTTGCGTCATATTCTGAGTTGCATTATTTTTATTCATTTTGAGGAATACTGAATCTGTGTGTTGTTGTTTTTTTGTGAGTGAGATGAATTAATGCATATTCATATTTATTTTAGAACTACAGTAACATCTGATTTCTCTCAACATGTGGACAGGAGAGCTGTCAGTCAATAAATTGGGGGGAAAAAAAGTAACTTGCGTTACTTATTTGAAAAAGTAACTCAGATATTTTCTTGTAAATTAAAAAGTAATGCGTTACTTTACTAGTTACTTGAAAAAAGTAATCTGATTACGTAACTTGCGTTACTTGTAATGCGTTACCCCCAACACTGGCTATGGTTAAACTAGTCTACAAGTGTAGCTTTAATTTTGAATTCCACTAACTTCAGCGTACCTTCAAGTACCTAATGTCTCTGCAACAGTTTGATAGCTGTTCGATTTGTTTTTTCTCTTCATTTTCCCGTACAGCTCTGGAACCAGTCAGAGCCGTACACTCACTGCAAATATGTACAACATAAACTGACAGTGTTTTGGGGAATATTGCAGGTCTCTGAGGAGCATAAAAAATTAGCTCCTTTTTCAGTTTTCAGGGTTTTTTTTTCTTCAAACTGTAGTCAAAATATATGCAGCTATTAAAACAACTTTAATTCCTGCCTTGTGTTTTTATAAGCTTTTATAAGCATATTTGTTGTAACATGAATGTTTACACATAACACATAATGTATTGAAGTCATTTAAAGTATTACAATTTAATCTGGTCAAGTTAATATCTGAAGCATTTTAAGCAGATTTTGTTTTGAGGAACCTTTGACAAAAAAAAAAGCATATGACTTATACTTCATTGTATTTTGCAATGTTACTTTCCCATTTGATTGCTCAGCTTTGTTTTGCATTTAATAATCAAATCATTGATAATCATTCACAATAAATATACATAATCATATCTGGGCATAGAATCCTGCCTTAAAATTGCATTCCGAGCACTGCTTTTCTTCTGTCATTTGTGACATGATTTATAGCTTCTTTTCTGTTAAGTGGCATCCGCAGTCATATGGTTTGTTTTATGGATGTTGAGAACAGCTCTGATGTACTGATGTCTGACTGCAAGGCTGGGGAATACTGCCAGAGACTGGCGTCATCGTCAGAGAAAACAGATGAATTATGAAATTGTCATGTGCATCCCAGGCTTAGATGTTTTTCATGTCACGCTTTCATGATGAAAAACAATCCCTGTTTGCAGTGATCTGGCCACATTTTTGAGAATGTAGAATAGCGTTATCCTTGTCACTCAGTTGTAAGTGACTTTTTTATTCAAAGGGAATATTAAGATATTGTTTATGCTTTAATAAAACGTGCCTGTGCTACCGTGTGGTCAATGGAATAATGAATGATAATAAATGACGTCATCACATCTCTTTGCTCATTTTGATGCAAGAAGGCATATTTGGGATTATGTGATATCAAAATGTGTGGTCTTTTTCCCAGCAGCTCCTTTCTTTCTTTTTTTTTTTTTGCACTAACAAACCGGAATTTCAGTTCGCTACATCACGGGTCCTCAACTCTGGCCCTCTAGATCCACTTTCCTGCAGAGATTCGCTCCAACCTGGATTAAACACAGCTACCTGCAACTTTCTAGTGATCCTGAAGACCTTGATGAGCTTGTTCAGGTGTGTTTGATTAGGGTTGGAGGAAAGTTGAGGACCCCTGGGCTACATTATCCCCCAAATGGACTGATCAAATCAACTGTCAAATTTAGATTATTAGAATATAAAATAAGCATGTGATTAGGGACAGTTGTACAGACATGGTGATGGTAAAAAAAATAGTACTAACTTCAGGTGGCGGAGGTATGGCTAGACTTGGTCGCTTTAGTCAGCCCACGGTCTCATCTGTCTGCCCTCGTATCCCCAGTACATTAAGGTTGGATGTCATAGTGCAGATGTGGCCAAGGCTACGTCTGCTTCTAAGAGCCTAGGGCCCTGCTTTATTTGAGACCCAAGATGGCTCAGACCATATTTCTCACTGGACAGCTTCCATTGGGTTTTTTCTCATTTGGAAAATCTCCTTGTGTGGGCGGAGCTTGGTTCTGCCACCAACCAGTTGAGATCCCGATGGTTTCTGCCCCTGATCTCATGAAATCTGGTCTCTCGACCAAGGTCACGGAGACTATTCGGAGTGGCGGTTCTCTCTATCAGTGAGGTTATGGGTGTTGCAGGCATGCCTGTACGTCTTCCTTCAGACAGTTAGAATCTGGGGACTCCATGAAGTAGGTGCCCTTTTATGGTCTTGACATATGACTGCCGTCAGCCAATGAAATTGGCATGTATTCACACAAACTCCTGACACGTTCCCATAGGGTTAACACCAGGAAGCAGCATCTCCTTCCCTTCTTAGGCAACCATGTTATATCTGTAACACTGAGACGTTTCTTGGGGGAATGCAATACTTTGCCAGAGATAATTTTTTCCTTTTCATGTCCTTTTTTTTCCCCCCTGTCAACATGTCCCTTTAGGGTCTCCATAACGTTAACATGTTTTATTGTTTTAATTCTATTATAATTATTATACATCCAGCTTATATGACATAATGATAAATAAAAGATTGCATGGAATATTTAAAACATTTACTTCAAAATGATGGAAAACAGATGACCAGTTATAGGACGTAGTAAGACTTACAATTTCCCTTATGCATTCATATACATTTTACTCTCAAGTATTAAATAAAATGTTCTGCCAGAGTGTGTAAAATGTGTTCTGTGGTCTTGTGGTTCTTTTTGCAGTAGCACTGAGGGAGTGTCTTATGAAGTACATGCACATGTGGCTGTAAATTCTCCATCAAACAAACATTAATTGCTGTACTCATCTTTTCCCCAGTTATGGAATGACTGCAGCTTTGGACAAAGTTTGCCGTTGTTATGACACTGAAAAGAACTGGTGTCTGAAAAGTCTGACGTTTGATTATTTAAAAAGTTATTCTAAAGACATGGGACTTTACAGAGATGAATGCTTTTGGACAGATTGTGAAACTTAAGCAGGTAAGTATTATTAACAATATGTTCCAGATGTGCATCTACATTTATTGAAAGCAGTCTTTCAAAAGCTGCTTGGTTGAGAATTGAATTGCACAATGCAGCATCATCCTGGATCTGCTTCCTCAGATCTCAACAACTTAGAATAATAGATTTATTGCAAGAAATATTGGTCTTTAATGTTATTGCATGACTGATCTGTGTGCTTTTGTGACACATAAAGGTCTTTCCCTATATTATTAAAAGTGTGCTGTAAGGGATTGTTCACGTGTGCATCGAGGATGGGCTGTGCTGAAGTCACCTTTGAGCTCTACCCAGAGTGATTTGGCAGATGTGATGCAGCGGTGAGCAGCTGTCATCTCTATATCTGGCTCAGGATCCTGCTCATGCCTTTGGCTTCCTGTTGAGTGCAAAGTCAGCCATGCTGGAGTAATCATTAATGAACTGCACACACCACACTGCTGTCTGTCTGCTGCAAACACAATACCTGTGTGTGTGTGTGTGTGTGTGTG